AGGCTCCCAGGAACTGTGTGGGCACTTCCCACCCAGAGCCGGCACTGCCCGCAGGAGCCTGGCCTGGCCCATCCTGTCAGCCGTGCATGTCTCCCGCCTGTCTTTGCACGTGGAGGACGGTCCCTTATCGCCTCTGGGCCGCAGAATGGAGCGTGGCCCCGTGTCAGGAGAGAGTGGGTTTCCTAGAGCCCCCGTCCCTGCTGCCTGGGAGCGCCAGCCTGCGCCCGGCACGGTGCCCGTGGCGGTCACTCCTTCCAGGCCTGGGGTGATCGAGAGGTGCTGGGCGCGCCCGTCCAGGAGCACAGCACTCCCTGCAAGGGTCAGTGACCCTGCCCGCTCACCCCCCATGCTCCACCGGGGATGGTCTGGGGGCCTCCGACGTGCCCCCTTGCGTGCACACTGCAGTGCATCCGCACGGCGAGGCCAGCTCCTGGGGCCTGCACAGACACCCCAGAAACCCTCCCCTCAGAACCAGTGGGGCCGGGGCAGGGACTCCGTGGCAAGACGCCGGCTGCAGGGCCCAGCCCGGTGCCATGCCCACGGCTGGCGAGCACAGGCAGGATACACGAGTCAGCAATGCCCAGCCCCACGGCAACCCCCCCAGCTCTGCGCGTTAGTCATACAGCACGAGTCGCGCCTTTGTTCACGGCTTCCCTTGTTTTTCTAACTCCAGCTTCCTGGCTGTTCCGGCCCTTGTCCCCTGGGCTTCCCTGGGAGCCCAGGGCGTTTCCTGTGTTGCTGTGTGCCCTGCTAGGGGCCTGTTTCCTCCACAGATAAACCCTCCCCTCTGCTCCCAGGATGAATCCTGCCCCCGGGCGCCATTTGGGGGGCTGTTCAACCCTCTGACTGTCACACTTGGTCTGCGTCAGCGCGGTGTCTGGGCCGAGGGCCCGGGCCTGAACTGCAGCAGGGCTTGTGCTGCTCCTGGGGCAGGGAGGGTGTTTCTAAGCGCTCGCCCGGAGATCACAAAGGGCTTGTCATTACACTAAATGAAGGGTCATAAAATGACCATGGAAGATTGCCAGGAAACAAAGGGGAGAAATAACAGTGCACTCCAGGGCTGGGACCTAGCACCAGGCATCCATGATCTTGAAAAGGGGCTCACAGAGAGGAGGCAAAATCTGCAGATGACACAAAGTTGCTCGGAATAGTTGAGGCCAAGGCCGCCAGCAAAGAGCCCGGCGGGGATCCGCAGACCTGGTGGCTGGGCAGCACACGGGCAGATGGGAGTCAGTGATC